ACGAAATGTAGAAAAAGAAAAAATGTATGAAGTGTAGTAAGAAAATAGGATGCATTGAAGAAAAGGGGAAAATAATTGCATAAAAGATGCACTGAATAAAATAGAAAAAATGTATTATTGTAAAGAGAAAAAATGGATTGTAGAAAAGAGAAAGAATGCTTTGTAGAAAAAGAGAAAGAGTGTATTGTAGAAAAATGAGAAAGTATGTATTGCAGAAAACAGAAAAGTATGCATTGTAGAAAAGGACAAAGAATGCATTATAGAAAAGAGAAAGTATGTATTGTAGAAAAGAGAAAGAAAGTGTTGTAGTAAAGAGAAATGTATGGATTGTAGCAAAGAGAAAAATGTATTGTAGTAAAAAAAAGAAACAATAAGTTGTAGAAAAGAAAGAATGTATTGTAGAAAAGAGAAAGTATGGATTATAGAACAGAATGTATTTTAGAAAGAGAAATGATGCATTGTAGTAAAGAGAAAATATCCAGTGTAGAAAAAGAATGCCTTGTAGAAAAGAGAAAGTATGTGTTGTAGAAAAGAAAAATTATGTATTGTAGAAAAGAGAAAGAATGAATTGTAATAAAGCGAAAAGTATATATTGTAGTAAAACAGAAGAACGTATTTAAAAAAAAAGGAAAGAATGTATTTAAAAAAAAAGAGAAATGTTGTATAAAAAAGGAAATATATTTATTCTACGAAAGAGAAAGTTTTTATTGTAGAAAAGAAAAAATACACTGTAGAAAAAAATTGAAAGAATGTATAGTAGAAAAGTGAAAGAATGCATTGTAGGAACGAAAAAGTATGTATTGTAGAAAAGGATACATTGTAGAAAAGAGAAAGAATTTCTTGCAAAAAATAGAAAGAATGCATTATAGAAAAGAGAAAATATGTATTGTAGAAAAGAAAGATCTATGGATTGTAGAAAAGAGGAAGAATGGATTGTAGAAAAATGTATTGTATGAAGAAAAACAATTGGTTTATAGAAAAACACAAATGACTGATTTGCAGATAACAGAAAATGGATTGTTTAAAAGAAAATTAAGTTCATTCTTGGAAATATTTATTTCTTGTTTGATATTGTGGATCTATGAATTTTGTTCGGGAAGGTTTTTTTTTTTTTGAATTATTCAGATCTTACATAATCATATTAAGTGCAAAGTTTACCATCATCTGTCCATCTGTTTATCTATCGACTGAAATAAGCTTGGCCGAAGTCATAGTAAGAGCAGTTACAAATCAACAATTTTACAATTCGATTAAAAATCATGGACACAGATAAACAGACTGTGTGTGATTACAAAGAAGATTCGTGATAATCGTCGCAAAATGGTAGAAACAAGGAAATGTCAGTTATTTTTGTAAAATAAAATAAAATAAAGTGATAAAATGTTTCCCCGTTCACCTGATGGATTCTTTTCTTGTCAATAATCTGTCTAATTATATTTCTGTCCATTTAAAACAATTAACCTCTTTGATCACCACAATCAACTTACTCTGACCTCGTCCATCAAGTTGTTTTCGTTCTTAACGCTAACCGAGCGGCCTGTTGTGAACTCGACATTTTTCTAAATGTACTCATATAAACAAACCCAGATTTATTTATCCTTTCTCCGACATTTCACTGTTTGTCTATGGCCCTGTGAGTTTCAAATTCTCCAAGCCTTTATTTTCTTATTGTGTGCCCTAGAAATTTCAACTGTCCAAGTGTCCTATTTGTTTCCATTTTCCGTAAAACTTCCTCGTTGTTCACATGTTCCGTCCATAGTATTCTCATCATCCTTCTGTAGAACCACATCTCTGTTGAGCCAACTTCCCTCTTCATTTGTGAAGAAATGTCCCCAGTTCCACTAGCACATAGGAAGATTAATATCGCATTGCAGTTCAGCCCTTTTTTTCTTTGCTTCTGACGAAATCACCCCTCTTTTGTTCTTGCAAGTATTTCTATTGGCATTTCGAGATAATAAATATATTTTCCGACATTGTTTCTCCAAGTACTTCCAGATACTTTGGCTATCTTAAGGAAGAAAGGTTGCTTTCAATCAGAGTAAGTCATTGAATTTTTTCAACATCTTAGATAGTTTTACTCACGTTATATGTTTTAACGTTAGTGATAGAATTTATTTTTTAAATCATATACTGCGCTGTGTCGTCATTTTTAAATTTGAAAACGTTCACAAGGATGCAAATTCTATGTATGTTTTAAAATATTTAAAATGCTGGTTTCTATGTTGAATGCTATTTTGCTCACTGTAGGTGTTTATTTTATAATTATTACTTCTAATATTTGTAATCGTTTTTCGAAAGCGTTCTTGTGCTTTTTCTGAGTATCGCTCGTACGAAGGGTGAAACAATAGTTTAATTTCCCATGTAAACAGTGTGAATATTTTTAACTGATAAGCACCGTCATTTATGTGCCGTGTCCCATGAGAACGTGGGCGATCATGGCTCTCCACAACCTCCTATTCCTCGTTGCTATTAGCAGCGTTTCTCCCTTCGTCAAGCCTCT